GGGGCAGCTGCCACTTGGGGGGGGGGGGTCCTTCGCTTGTTTGAGATGAGATTCGATACGAAACACTGAGTTGCCGAGGCAATTAGGCAAGCGATTTATGAGTGCAAATATGATGTTGGTAACGTAGTGAATGCTTGGGAGCTTCATTGTCTCTCGCTCCTGCTGACAGATGTACCCAGCCCACAGCTCCACAGATACTAGCCGCTCTTCCTGTGCAGGTTCAGCTACGTACAGTGCAAAAGAAGTTCCAGAAACACACAGAGACTCACACAGAGACCAACAGATTAGCATGGTTGGCTACGTATGGTGCGAAATAAGTTCAACGTACACACAGAGACTCGGAGCAAGTTTGAGTCGCGTGCAGTCGTGGGCCATGAAAGTTGAATTGGCGCATGTTGCTACTGACAGTAGTTGAATACGGTTGGAAAGATGCTGATAGAGACACACACAGAGACTGACAAGAGAAAGGTGGACAGACACAGACAAGAGGAAGACAGAAAGATACAGAGATGACAGAGACACAGTCAGCGAGAGAGAGACACAGAGGGGAACAGAGACACAGATGGACAGAGAGATGTTGAATCGAACAAACTTAACTTGCTCCACTGAAAGAGATTCCTCAATCTTTGCCCATCCCCGGAAGTCGTTCCAGTTTCTATTTATTTCATTGTATGTGGTGTCTACGTGTAAGCAATGTGGGATATCAATGTAGATAGATATGAACAAGATCAGCAGACAAGACGTCTTTCATACTCTTTGGTTCTTTGAGTGAAGTCACGCAGGTAGAAAAAGTACAATAAATCACGACGTTTCTATCGCAACACGAGCGGTCGTCCTCAGGCGAAAACATCCAGACATTGTCACGGCAGAAGTCACGTGAGCTACGGCACGTGACAAAGATAAGGTGACCCCCCACCCCCGTGGCTATCCCTGCTCAGCTGAGCATTGTTTTAATGCGGTGGGCTCACGCGAGATTGATTTCTGTAAAACGAAGGTACTTTGAAAACCCACTGGCTATACTTTTATATAAGTGTTGTGTCCTTAACTAACCACACGTAGACGTCTGGTTGAGGCAACGCGTTTTTTATAACTCTTTTGAACTCGGCTCTACACACTACTGTACCACGAAGGAGTACGGCCCCTTCCACTTGATAGCCTACGCGAGTGACAGCCTCCCTTCTATCGCAGCCTGCACACTCCGGGCTCTGCTACCCACGGGTCCCTTAGCCCGGCGTTAAGGGAAGACTGGACGACCCGTCCCAGCCCGGGTACGGGAGCTCACCTCTGGTCCGCTACAACCCGGCTCTGGCTAGAGCTCGGGGAGGGTCCCAGGGTGTTCGAGCCACCTCGGTCCGCTACAACCCGACTCTAACAAGAGCCTCGGTTGAGGGTCCCCGGGTGCTGGTCCAGTCTTCAGGTCTTCGGATGTCTTCAGGCTTGAGTTGGTGAACACTGCCCGGCCCGTCCAGAGGGCTGGGCTTTTAACCCCAGGTCGGGGTCTCCACTACCCTCTTGAGCCCCCCCCCTCCCAGAACCTTTTGGAAGGTCTTATCTTAAGGGGCCTTGGGGACGGGTGGGGGGTCAGGGATGTTATTCTCGGGTCACGGGGGGGGGGGCGGGGGTTTGCTTTGGTCGACCCGTACACACCTCACTCTCTCTCTCGGCTGCCCCCTGTTGAACTGTGAACGTGGTGGCAGGTCAGCTTACAGCGCCTTGTTGTGGCGCTTACGCACAACTTCGTGACTAACGCTGCACGTTCCGTCATATTCATGCAGGGGGCGCTGCAAACCTACGCGTCCCCTGCATGAACGACGGAGGCGCAGGGACAGACGTTCGATCGCATTGGAATCAATTTGCGGACGGCGGTCTTCTCGCACGGCCAGCTCTGTGTCGCCTCATCTGGATCCCGCGATCCCAACCAGGTGAAAGTTCGCATCGAACCAAACCACCGGCAAAGCCATCTACTTAATGACGCGAGAAAATTCACACGAAATATCGCTTTCAATTAATAAGCTTTTAATGAAGAAATACAATTATCTAATTCAAAATAATACAATTCAAAGTTGTTTCATTTTAAAACTTCAAAACGGAGCATCGGGAGCTTGCGTGGAGGCGTCGTTCGTGTGCAATTTTTTTCGTGACTTTCCTGGCCCCAGGCCGTAAATGGTTGTGAGGGGCACCGCAGGCGATCTGGCTTGCTTCAAGCCATGGTTGTGAACATCCAGACGTTAATCAGCAAGGGCCATTTCTTGTCCTAATTCGAGAAAATCTACATCAACATGTAATACAAAATTATAATTCGTGTTGTAGAGAATGTATCTCCTCTACGTGTAACTTTTGAGTGGTATGCCTTGTAACTGATTAATGATCCGAGTGTGCTCCCTATTTCAAAGACAATGAGTTGCTCCAGAGGGAGATGCTTCCTGAAAACACAAAAGTACCCTTTGACCTGTATCACAAGAACAATGAGTCTCACCTGAGTTATCTGTACAGGTTACTTCCAAACACACACTTTGTCCTAACATCACTTATTTAATGTTTGACCTTTATAGACAAAATGTTACATGTATGCACACAATCAAACAAGTATTCATTCTAAATTAGAGTCATTTTAACAAAATTGTATTACTGTAGTGAAATATACTGCACCAGGTTAAATCGCATGAACAAGAAGCTATGTAAAAAATACGCTTAACAGTGTATGTACAACATACTATTGCATAATTCAAAACGAGTAGGCCATTGCATGCTGGTGTCTGGGTCAAAATTGATCAAATTCTAAACATTACCTACAAACTCCACAACTGAGATGCCACATCAACAATCGCTCCCTACTGACAGGCTCTTGTCCACATGCAGGCCGGTGCAGGGCCACACAGGGGCAGCTGCTACTTGGGGGTGCTCTTCCGAGTGTTTCAAACGAGATACGATACAAAACTCCGAATTGCCAGAGGCGATTAAGCAAGCACCATATAAATGGAATTACTAGAACATAGTGAATGCTTGGGAGCTTATTGGTTCTCGCTCCTGGTTAGAGATCTACCCAACCCACAGGTTCACAAAGACTGGCCGCTCTTACCCTGCAGGTTGAACCTAGGAATTGTGTTCAACTTCATTATCATCATTAAAGGCCTGTGCCAAAGGTGCATCTATTGGAGCGACATCGTCTCAAGCTTACACATCTACCGGGTCTCCATTTGACTTTGTATTGTCTCGGAGGAAGTCCACCCACACCTCCACTTCCACAAACTGCTGGGAGTTGCCTCGCTCTGCCTCACAGTGAGAATTCTCCTCCCGCTTCACGTTGCCTCCATTGATGTGAAGGTCCGACTTTGGAGTTGAATCTTCATCTTCACATTTTACCTTCACTCCTTCGCTCTTCACCATCACTTCACATTTTACCTTCACTTCTTCGCTCTTCACCATCACTTCTTCACATTTCACCTTCACCTCTTCATATTTCACCTCGATACCTTTAAAAGTGTCCAAGCTGGGATTTTCTTCCGTATCTTGTTTCATCAAGGATGGGCTCATTGCGGTACTTTGACTTTCACAAGCTGATTTCAGACTCCTCTCCTTGTGGATCTTCTGATGCGTGTGTGTTCTCTGGTGTACATGAAGATTTGATGACTTTGCAAACGCCTTCCCACACACACTGCACTTGAAGGGTTTCTCTCCCGTGTGTGTTCTCTGGTGTTCTACAAGAGTAGATGAACGTGCAAACGCCTTCCCACACGCACTGCACTTGAAGGGTTTCTCTCCCGTGTGTGTTCTCTGGTGTGTTACAAGAGGAGATGAATTTGAAAACGCCTTCCCACACACACTGCACTTGAAGGGTTTATCTCCTGTGTGAGTTCTCTGGTGTGTTACAAGAGTAGATGAATCTGAAAACACCTTCCCACACACACTGCACTTGAAGGGTTTATCTCCTGTGTGTGTTCTCTGGTGTGTTACAAGAGTAGATGAACGTGCAAACGCCTTCCCACACACAATGCACTTGAAGGGTTTCTCTCCTGTGTGTGTTCTCTGGTGTTTTACAAGAGCAGATGAATCTGAAAACGCCTTCCCACACACACTGCACTTGAAGGTTTTGTCTCCTGTGTGAGTTATTTGGTGTGTTACAAGAGTAGATGACTGTGTGAACACCTTCCCACACACACTGCACTTGAGGGGTTTATTTCCCGTGTGTGTTCTCTGGTGTTTTACAAGAGTAGATGAATCTGCAAATGCCTTCCCACACACACTGCACTTGAAGGGTTTCTCTCCTGTGTGTGTTCTTTGGTGTTTTACAAGCGCAGATGAATCTGAAAACGCCTTCCCACACACACTGCACTTGAAGGGTTTCTCTCCCGTGTGAGTTCTCTGGTGTACTTGAAGATGTGATGAATGTGCAAACGCCTTCCCACACACACTGCACTTGAAGGGTTTCTCTCCTGTGTGTGTTCTCTGGTGTTCTACAAGAGTAGATGAACGTGCAAACGCCTTCCCACACACACTGCACTTGAAGGGTTTCTCTCCCGTGTGTGTTCTCTGGTGTGTTACAAGAGGAGATGAATGTGAAAACGCCTTCCCACACACACTGCACTTGAAGGGTTTCTCTCCTGTGTGAGTTATCTGGTGTATTACAAGAGTAGATGACTGTGTGAACGCCTTCCCACACACACTGCACTTGAAGGGTTTATTTCCCGTGTGTGTTCTCTGGTGTTTTACAAGAGTAGATGAATTTGAAAACGCCTTCCCACACACACTGCACTTGAAGGGTTTATCTCCTGTGTGTGTTCTCTGGTGTGTTACAAGAGTAGATGAACGTGCAAACGCCTTCCCACACACACTGCACTTGAAGGGTTTCTCTCCCGTGTGTGTTCTCTGGTGTTCTACAAGAGTAGATGAACATGCAAACGCCTTCCCACACACACTGCACTTGAAGGGTTTCTCTCCCGTGTGTGTTCTCTGGTGTGCTACAAGAGCAGATGACTGTGAAAACGCCTTCCCACACACACTGCACTTGAAGGGTTTCTCTCCCGTGTGTGTTCTCTGGTGTGCTACAAGAGCAGATGACTGTGAAAATGCCTTCCCGCACACACTGCACTTGAAGGGTTTCTCTCCTGTGTGAGTTATCTGGTGCCATGTCAAATGTTCAGTACTATCCGTGCTGTTTGCACGCCGGTTGCATTGATGCCTTTTTGCACCGAGCTGTGCTGAGTGCCTTTGCTCCATCAGACAAATTCTGCAGAGGAAGCGACAGCTGCAGAGAGAAAAAAAAGAATATCCACACCATCTACACGTCAGTATTGAGGCACAGAGGAATGCATACACACAGTCACACGTGACTTACACATCTATACTTATTCATATATTCATGATATGGTGAAAAAGTGTCCCAAATTCATCACGCGGGCTGTTATGGCACACAACGAGAGGGCGAATGTCATAAACATGCCTGGAAGCCCTCGTATCTTCAAAATGAATGTTAACCCAAAACTCCGAGCACACAATTTCGGCTATCTGCCTTCAAAAGGAATATTTATGAAAGCTAAATTCAGTTGACATAGCAAAGGGTGTTGAAAATAATACTTTTTGTGTTATGCAGAAATGCATAAATTAATGTTCAATCGCAACTTAGAGGTGTGAAGCCAGGCACAGATGTCCTTGAATGCTGGGATGAACAGTTCTGACTTCAACTGCACATGTGCTGTGATAACTTCCTGACTCCACTCTTACAAAAAGTTCCAGAGGAAATAAAAAATAAACTGTTTTGATATAACCTCCGTGCTCAATAGAGTGAATAGACTTTACTGCAAAATACAAACTTGACCCTGTCACACACTCAGAGGTGGAGCCAGGATTTTCAGGAAGATGGGGCAACCCCTTCAGCAATGAAAAATGATAGGAGTTGTTAGTAAGTAAGGAGTTGTTAGTAAGTAAGTTGTTAGTATGTAAGGAGTTGTTAGTAAGCAAGGAGTTGTTAGTAAGGAGTTGTTAGTAAGGAGTTGTAAGGAGTTGTTAGTTAGTAAGGACTTGTCCCTTGCTTTATATTTGACGCGTATGATAGGCACCGCGCTCGCTGAAGGTGTTTGCCATCAGGGAAGTCGTGTACTGTATACGCAACTGCGCCCAATTCTGTGAGTCGCTTGTAACAGCTTTGCCGTGACTTATTGCCAATTTTGGACTCGGACTGTTGTCCTCTCATAGAGTCCCTGGCACGTAATAATATGCCACACGGTGGCAGTGGGGGTCGCAAAATGCTGATTTATCTATATATATATAAAAGGGAAAAGTGTGGATATGTGTGTCTGTTCGAAAGTGATTAGCATACTTCCCAACATGCTACACACTTGAAATTTGGCATGTGGGTAGGTTCCGTACTGTACGCAATGAACAAAGTATGAAAATATAAGGAGGGAGGAAAGACGGACAGGGAGGCAGAGAGAGGGGGAGGTGCGGAGGGATGAACAGAAGCTTAAATAGGAAATACGATTGGAGGGGGAGAGGGGCCAGAGCGAGAGCGGCAGCTTAAACACGCACATCTTACACATACAAAACGGCAGCTCAAAAAAGGACCACCTCTTGTAAATACAAAATGGCAGCTCAAAAAAGGCCCACCTCTTGTAAATCCAAAACGGCAGCTCAAAAAAGGGCACATCTTACACATAAGTACAACGGTAACTTCCCCGTAGAAGTGTGATAATAAAGTATTAAAGCTTTCGTGACTGCATAAAATTACTCATTGTTTTTTTTGGTAAAGTCACGTATGTAGAAATACAATAAAATTATATTAAAACAAAAAAACAATCACGACGTTTCGATCACAACGCAAGCGATCTTCATCAGGTGTCAAGAACAAATCACGGAGGTAAATACAACAAAAAGATGAGAGACGAGAATTCAACAAACCTGAAAAACATTATGTGAAGCACATCCAGTCAGGCCAACAACACAGTTAGACACTTCCTGGCGGACCACGAATTTCAGGAGAGTGTTAAATTTCGTATTCAACCTTTGGATTGCACATACCAGCATAGATAGAATGAAAAATACGAGGTTCTACATACGTGACTTTACCAAAAAAAACAATGAGTAATTTTATGCAGTCACGAAAGCTTTAATACTTTATTATCACACTTCTACGGGGAAGTTACCGTTGTAATTACGTGTAAGATGTGCCCTTTTTTGAGCTGACATTTTGTATTTACAAGAGGTGGTCATTTTTTGAGCTGCCGTTTTGTATCTACAAGAGGTGGTCCTTTTTTGAGCTGCCGTTTTGTATGTGTAAGATGTGCGTGTTTGAGCTGCCGCTCTCGCTCTGGCCCCTCCCCCCCTCCAACCGTATTTCCTATTTAAGCTTCTGTTCATCCCTCCGCCCCCCCCCCTCTCTCTGCCTCCCTGTCCGTCTTTCCTCCCCCCTTACCTCTTGGTGGACATGTATATGTATTTCTACTGACCTTGTACCTCGTATTTTTTATTCTATCTATGCTGGTATTTGCAATCCAAAGGTTGAACACGAAATTTAACACTCTTCTGAAATTCGTGGTCCGCTAGGAAGTGTCTGTGTTGTTGGCCTGACTGGATGTGCTTCACATGTTTTTTCAGGTTTGTTGAATTCTCGTCTCTCATCTTTTTGTTGTATTTACCTCCGTGATTTGTTCTTGACACCTGATGAAGATCGCTTGCATTGTGATCGAAGCGTCGTGATTGTTTTTTGTTTTTTTGTTTAAATATAATTTTATTGTATTTCTACATACTTTATTATAAAAATATATTTTTGTATTTTGTATGACCATCAAGTTTGTTACGTCAACCCGCAACACACCTGAGTTAAGCGCTCTGCAATGCTTAGAGCTGTTCACAGCGTGCCGGGAGATTTTAGGTGGCGCGTCGCTCCTGGCCGATGAAGCCATTGGTTTCTCGGAGTTTCAATACATATCCGTGCGAAGAACGGGTAGAATGGCTATCTTAAATATGAAGCAGAAAATTATATCTGTTTGTTTGTGTGAAGCAGCAAAACCTCTCCAACGCTGAGCTTTGGCGTCATGAAATTTTCACAGCTTATGCTGTTTGGAATTTCTAAGTGAACGCGACTATTTTCAGCTCGCCACGTCATTCATTCCAGAGTGGCGAAAATCGACCTTGCGTAGAAGTGGATTAAGGTTAAATTTCCTTGAGTGAAAACAACCGATTTAGGTAACTTGATTTGTTTTGGCTTTTTTCCTTCTTGCAAGCATCAACATTTAAGGGTTTTTCAGTGAAATATAAGGTAATATGAAATATATCCAAGACAAGAATCCAAGTTCCGGGCGAAGCCGGGTAGTGAAGCTAGTTACTAATAAACCCCAATGATCCAATCGAAATTAGGGATTTCGATCGGACTGTTGGGGGGGCACGTGCCACCCCACCCCCACTGGCTCCACCACTGTCACGGACTGGCATGGTACACAGGTGATGGTGTGTCCAGACCCACGCCTGGCCACGTTCACCTTCTCAGAATTAATGCTTCCTCACTCCACCAAGCAAATTCATTGAGGATCAATCAACACACCCGAAGTTGTGTGTCTCTATCTCTCTTCCCGTGGTTGCGTGGATTTCCTTCCCGATACCCGGGTTTCCCCTCCACATGTAGAGTGTGAACACCACCACGCGTCTAGGGTGAACACCGCCACGCGTCTAGAGTGAACACCGCCACGCTGTTGACGAGCCTCACCTTGTGATGTCGGCAGGTCGCTTCTAAAAACAAAAGCAGCACAGCAGCTCAAGCGGGCTTGGCCTGGTAAAAAAAGAATGAAATAAAAACTGCGTGAATATTTAAAAGTAAAACAAAGTGACAAAGTGGCGAGCCGAGTGAAGACAAATTAAACTTAAGCGATAGAATTGAAGCAAACGCGATCGGGCAAGGGCAGGAGGCAAGGCCCCGGGTGGCTAGGCCCCGCGCTGTAAAGTTCCAACCTGGACATCGCTTCCATGCTCGCTGCTACTCAATTGACATCCCTACGAGAGAGACAGCGAGGCTCTACCTCGGTAAACAACAACCACCACCACAACCACCACCACCACAACAACCACCACTACAACCACCACCACCAACACAACCACCACCACCACAACAACCACCACAACAACAACCACAACCACCACCAAAACAACCACCACAGCAACCACAACCACCACAACCACTAGCACAACAACCACTACCACAACAATCACCACCACAACTATCACCACAACAACCACCACCACAGCCACCACAACCACAACCCCCACAACCACAACCACCACAACAATCACCACCACAACTATCACCACAACAACCACCACCACAGCCACCACCACCACAACCACCAGAACTACCACCACAACAACCACTACCACAACAATCACCACCACAACTATCACCACAACAACCACCACCACAGCCACCACCACAACCACAACCCAAACAATCACAACCACAACAACAACCACCACAGCCACCACCACAACTACAATCACCAGAACTACCACCACAACAACCACCACAACAACCACCAACACAACAACAAACACCACAACAACCACAACAACCATCACCACAACCACCACCACTACAGCAAACACTACCACAACCATCACCACAACAACAACCACCACAACCATCACCACAACAACAACCACCACCACAACACCCACCACCACAACAACCACCACCACAACCACCACCACAACAACCACCACCACAACAACCACCACCACAACACCCACCACCACAACAACCACCACCACAACAACCACCACCACAACAACCACCACCACAACAACCATCACCACAACAACAACCACCACCACAACACCCACCACCACAACAACCACCACCACAACCACCACCACAACAACCACCACCACAACAACCACCACCACAACAACCACCACCACCACAACAACAAACACCACAACAACCACAACAACCACCACAACCACAAACACCACCACAAGCACCACTACAACAACCACTACAGCCACCACCACAAAAACCACCACAACAACCACCCCCACAACCACCACAACAACAACCACCACCACCACAACACCCACCACCACAACAACCACCACCACAACAACCACCACCACAACAACCACCACCACCACAACAACCACCACCACAACAACCACCACCACAACAACCACCACCACAACAACCACCACCACAACAACCACCACCACAACAACCACCACCACAACAACCACCACCACAACCACCACCACAAACACCACAACAACCACCACAACCATCACCACAACCACCAACACAACAACCACCACAACAACCACCACAACCACCACCACAACCACCACAACCATCACCACAACCACCAACACAACAACCACCACAACTTTCGATTTAAAGCTTTCGTGACTGCAATGATTCATCTTCTTTGGTTCTTTCGGTAAAGTCACGTAGAATGAGAATAAAATAATAAATTAATAAAATAAAATAACACAATAATATTCTCACGACGTTTCGGCCACAACACAAGCGGCCTTCATCAGGTGAAGGGGGCGAGACTGTCTGGTAGGACAGCGCTGGAGTGAGAGAGCCACGTTCAGATCACGGCTTTTAAGCTGTGTGAGAGGAACAAAGAGCCTTGACAAAGGAATTAGCATAAAATTTAGCATTGAAATGGCTGAATGATTAGCTTGTGACTGGTCACAGAAATAGCTATGTTAAAAGTTAAAGCATACACATCCGCAGAGGCACCCATTGTTAAAAGGAATTAGCATAGAATTTAGCATTGAAATAGCTAAGTTAAGGCATACACATCCGCAGAGGCACCCCTTGACAATGGGATTAGCATAGAATTTAGCATTGAAATGGCTGAGTGATTCGCTTGTAACTGCTACAGAAATAGTTACGTTGAAGTCAGAGCATACACATTCACCGAGGCACTTAGTACAAATCAAACAGGAGAATTTAGCATTGAAATAACTAGGCGAATTTAGCATTGAAATAACTGGGTGATTTGCTAGTGACTGGTCACAGAAATGACTACACATCTGAGCTATTCACAGTACTATATAGTGAACCAATAAAAACTAAAATATAAATTACCTTCATGTTATCAATAAACTCTATATTCTCCAATCAGCTAAGCTACCAACCATAAGTAGTTATATATCACAATGCTATATGGCGAAAAAATGGGTGGATTCTTACCCTCAATTGAGTAGCGTTTATTTCCTTCCCGATCCCCCGGTTTCCCCTCCACATGTATAGAGTGAACGCCGCCACGCGCCCAGAGTGAACACCGCCACGCTGTTGACGAGCCTCACCTTGTGTTGTGGGCAGGTCGCTTCTGAAAACAAAAGCGGTACAGCAGCTCAAACGGGCTTGTCCTGCTAAAAAAGGAAATAAAAACTGCGTGAATATTTAAAAGTAAAACAAAGTGACAAAGTGGCGAGCCCCGTGAAGACAAATTAAACTTAAGCGAGAGAATTGAAGCAAACGCGATCAGGCGAGGGCAGGAGGCAAGGCCACGCGTGGCTAGGCCCCGTGCTGTAAAGTTTCAACCTGGACATCGCTTCCATGCTCGCTGCTACTCAATTGACATCCCTGAGAGAGAGAGCGAGGCTCTACCTCGGTAAACAAAAACAACCACCACCACAACCACCACAACCACCACAACAACAACCACCACAACAACAACCACCACCACCACAACAACCTCCACCACAACCGCGATGAGAATTTCTCACCTCGGATTTCAGTGCACGGGCGGAGCAGCAGCTTCCTGTTATCTCGTGACGTCACGCGGCAGCAGGAGACGACATGACGTCACTTGTGGGGAACGATAACAATAGGCGGCTCCGTACGTGACATAATTTAGGTGAATAAATTATGTTAATGTACCCAGCCCATATGTGGAGGGATGGGGGTGGGTGCTGAACCCGTCGCGACAGCTTTCACGAAATAATTATGTTAATGAGCCGCCAGTCACTGGGCGTGGCCTTGCCCAAGTATGGATTCTACTTGAACAGAAAACGAAAGCGACCCAGGTAGAGGTGACGTCACACTCAAGGGCGCCTTGGACGGGGTGGAGTGAATACCCTGGTGACATGACGTCACTAGCGAGGTACACCTCCCCCTGGCGTTTCACTCCGATGAGGTAATGCTGAGTGGCGACGTCACAGAGCGGGGTTGGAGTTTAAGTTGATTTAGATTAATTTTCCATTGCCCCCTCCCTTTATCCGAGACCCCTTGGGTGTGTGAGCTCAGCAACAACAACGTGAACATTATTGTGAGTACACTGTGTGTACGTACGCACACCGTGTGTACGTACGCACACACAACGCGCAGGTCATTGCATATTTGTGTCAGGGTCAAAATTGGGGTAATTCCAAACATTATCCAGAAACTACACAACGGAGATGACGCATCAATGATTGCCCCCTACCGACAGACTCATGTCCACGTGCAGGCCGGTGCAGGGCCACCTTGTGCCACACAGGGGCAGCTGCCACTTAGTGGGGGGGGGGGGGGGGGGTCCTTCGATTGTTTGAGATGAGATTCGATACGAAACACCGAGTTGCTGAGGCAATTAGGCAAGCGACTTATGAGTGCAAATGTGATGTTGGTAACGTAGTGAATGCTTGGGAGCTTCATTGTCTCTCGCTCCTGCTGACAGATGTACCCAGCCCACAGCTCCACAGATACCAGCCGCTCCTCCTGTGCAGGTTCAGCTACGTACAGTGCAAAAGAAGTTCCAGATACACACAGAGACTTAGAGAGACCAACAGATTAGCATGGTTCGCTACGTATGGTGCGAAATAAGTTCAACGTACACACAGAGACTCGGAGCAAGTTTGAGTCGCGTGCAGTCGTGGGCCATGAAAGTTGAATTGGCGCATGTTGCTACTGACAGTAGTTGAATACGGTTGGAAAGATGCTGATAGAGACACACAGAGACTGACAAGAGAAAAGTGGACAGACACAGACAAGAGGAAGACAGAAAGAAAGATACAGAGATGACAGAGACACAGTCAGCGAGAGAGACACAGATGGACAGAGAGATGTTTAATCGAACAAACTTAACTTGCTCCACTGAAAGAGATTCCTCAATCTTTGCCCATCCCCGGAAGTCGTTCCAGTTTCTATTTATTTCATTGTATGTGGTGTGTGCGTGTAAGCAATGTGCGATATCAATGTAGACAGATATGAACAAGATCAGCAGACAAGACGTCTTTCATACTCTTTGGTTCTTTGAGTGAAGTCACGCAGGTAGAAAAAGTACAATAAATCACGACGTTTCTATCGCAACACGAGCGGTCGTCCTCAGGCGAAAACATCCAGACATTGTCGCGGCAGAAGTCACGTGAGCTACGGCACGTGACAAAGATAAGGTGACCCCCCCCCCCCCCCCCCCCGTGGCTCGCCCGGCTCAGCTGAGCATTGTTTAATGCGGTGAGCTCACGCGAAATTGATTTATATAAGAGTATAGCCACTGGCTAAACTCTTTTATATAAGTGTTGTCTCCTTAACTAATCACACGGAGACGTCTGGTTGAGGCAACGCGTTTATTATAACAACTCTTTCGAACTCGGCTCTACACACTACTGTACCATGAAGGGGTACGGCCCCTTCCACTTGATAGCCTATGCGAGTGACAGCCTCCCTTCTATCGCAGCCTGCACACTCCGGGCTCTGCTACCCACGGGTCCCTTAGCCCGGCGTTAAGGAAAGACTGGACGACCCGTCACAGCCAGGGTACGGGAGATCACCTCTGGTCCGCTACAACCCGGCTCTGGCTAGAGCTCGGGGAGGGTCCCAGGGTGTCCGAGCCACCTCGGTCCGCTACAACCCGGCTCTAACAAGAGCCTCGGTTGAGGGTCCCCGGGTGCTGGTCCAAGCTTCAGGTCTTCGGATGTCTTCAGGCTTGAGTTGGTGAACACTGCCCGGCCCGTCCAGAGGGCTGGGCTTTTAACCCCAGGTCGGGGTCTCCACTCCCCTCTTGACCCCCCCCTCCCAGAACCTTCTGGAAGGTCTCATCTTAATGGGCCTTAGGGACAGGTGGGGGGTCTGGGGTGTTAGTCTCCGGTCACGGGGGGGGGGGGGGGGGTGCAGGGGTTTACTTTGGTCGACCCCTATGCACCTCGCTCTCTCGGCTGCCCCCTGTTGACCCATAAACGTGGTGGCAGGTCAGCTTACAGTGCCTTGTTATGGCGCTTACGCACAACTTCGTGACTAACCCTGCACGTTCCGTCATATTCATGCAGGGGGCGCTGCAGACCTACGCGCCCCCTGCATGAACGACGGAGGTGCAGGGACAGACGTTCGATCGAGTTGGAATCGATCTGCAGACGGCGGTCTTCTCGCACGGCCAGCTCTGTGTCGCCTCATCTCGATCCCGCGATCCCAACCAGGTGAAAGTCCGCATCGAACCGAACCCCCGGCAAGGCCATCTACTTAACGACGAGAGAAAATTCATACCAAATGTCGTTTTCAAATAAGTCTTCCAGACGTAAGATGAGATAAGCTTTTAATGAATAAATACAATTATCGAATTCAAAACATAATCAAATTAAAACTGTTTCATTTTAAAACTTCAAAACGGAGCATCGGGAGCTTTTTACCTACGTGACTTTACCCGCTTTCACACTCACTTCTGCTGCTGTATCTTCTCCGAATTCTAAACAGATTTTGCTTAAGGCCAGCCTATCTTTAATCTCAGAGAGGATAAGGCTACTCCGATTTGAACTCGATACTTTAGACAGGACTCTCCTACAAGCTCATTTAATGTTAACACAAAAAAATGTCACCGTCTGATTGGAATCACGTAGACAACATGACTGCTTTTCTGCGGAGTCACTGTCAGTCAAATGTAAAGCTAACCTGATTTCTAAATTCAACCACCTATCAAAGAAGAACCCATTCGTCATTAATCAGAGTAGCACCCCGATTTCAGACAATCTGAAAACAGTACTGGCTAGGGGACTAAATTTTGCTGTCACCCCAAAACACATACCAGTAGATGATATCATCTCTCAGGTCGATGTAGCCCTCAAAGGCGTAGGACACATCCAAGCAGACGTTGCGAGAGCTGAAATAGCCACTATTCTTAAGAATGCTAAGAAACCTATTAGTAACATCAGCTAAAATGAACGCTCTGAACTCGCGAATTTAAAAAACAGAAGTGATATAGTAATCCTCTCAGCCGATAAAGGCAACGCTACTGTTATTATGGATAAAGATTCATACAACAACAAAATCCAGAATCTGCTCAACGATGGAAGTTACTCAAAAATAAAAAATGACCCTACCAATAGCCTAGCGATAAAAACCAACAAGATCATCACAAGTTCGACCTCCCTAATCGACCCAACTAAACGTCCCTCCCTAAAACCTTCTGCTGCAAGACCCCCTAGATTCTATGGTCTTCCCAAGATTCGTAAAAAAGGCACCCCACTACGACCCATCGTATCCACGATCAACTCCCCTACCTATAGACTAGCCCGTTTTCTGTCAGATACCTTGCTGCCTTTCACTGGCAAGACCGCCTCAGCAGTACTTAACTCAGCCCAATTGGCCTCTATGGTCAAATACGTTGTACTGTCCCCTGACGATATCCTTGTCAGCTTCGATGTGGTCTCTTTGTTCACCAAGGTCCCAGTACCTGATACCATTGAAATAATTGAAAATTTGGTCCAACATGGACTAGATCCCGACACACCTGCACTGGTTAGGCACTGCCTCAACAATACCTACTTTACTTGGAATGGCTCCTTCTACAAACAAAATGAGGGTACCCCCATCGGATCCCCCTTGTCACCAGTGATAGCCAACATTTTCATGGAGAAATTTGAATCAGACGCCATCCAGACTTCCACCCTCAGACCTTCCCTGTGGAAGAGATCTGTGGATGACACTTTCGTCATTTGGCCACATGGCCTCCCAGCTCTGAACCTTTTCCTACACCACATCAATTCCAGACATCCCGCCATCAAATTCATCATGGAAGTGGAGAAAGATGGCAAGCTACCATTCTTAGATGTTCTATTTGAGAGGAGACCTGATAGCTCATTGGGGCATTCTGTCTACAGGAAACCCACCCACACAGATTCCTACTTGAAACCTGATTCCCACCACCACCCAGCCCAAAATTATTATCTTCAAAACTTTATACCATAGGGCTCATTTCATTTCGGACCAACACCACCTGACCAGTGAATTAAAACATGTACACCTGGCCCTCAAAAGGAATGGTTACTCTGACCGTACCATCCGCCAAGCTGTTTCTCCCTCCATACAGAAACAACCACTTGATACTCCGGTCAAAACCATCACACTGCCATATATAGCAGGCGTTACTAAAAATATTTCCAAAATTCTAAACAAACACAAGATCCAGGTCCGGTTCAATACAGTACACAAAATTCGTGATCTGATCCCATCCGTGAAGGATGTCATTCCTGACTTACAGTACCCCGGGGTTTATAAATTGAGTTGTACCTGCGGTGATTGCTATATCGGGGAGACAAAGCGACATGTCACTGACCGAATTCGCGAGCACAAATCAGATTTGAAACACGGCAAAACGAATTCTTCTGCCGTGGCTGATCACTGTTACAACGCTGTGGGTGATCACGATATAATTTTCTCCAATACCAAGGTTCTTTGCAAACCCACGGGTTTTTTTTATCAGAGATTTGTTCACGAGGCAATTCAGATCTACAAACACAGACACAATTTCAACCGAGAAGATGGTTTCAAATTAAGCAACCATTGGAAAGATGTTCTAAATCGAACTAAACATTAAA